GGCAAGTGTTGGAGGTAGACTGCAGAACAGTGGGCCAGGAGGCTTGGAAGTTATGCCATCCCTGGCCTGCTGCCTGCCTTCTCTCCACAGAAGCAGAGGAGTTTCTTCCCTGGCATGGCAATGCATGCAATCCAGTTGTCCACAGGGACAGATCTGAAAGCTACCTGCTTGGCTGTAGAAGTTTTGGTTGGCATATGGGTGTTGCTGGAGCATGTTGATGTGCAGTTTAAGCGAGAACCTGTTGCAGCAGTGAAGAAAAGATGGCCCTGTAGAGTCTAGAAAATGGATGGTAGTGGAAGCACTGGGAGGCCCAGTCAGGAAGTGAGTAGCCTGCTGAGCAACTACCTGGACGGGTGCTGAGGAACAAACCAAATACAAGTATTGGGCTTCTGTGCCTGGACTCCACCTAAACAGGCACAGCACAAAAAGGTCCCTCAGATCACATGAAAACTCCTGAACTTCTAGAGTTTAATTCATGATTATTATCTGTGCAAGGAAACTCTCAGGCCTGAACATTTTAGATTTCCAGTTGCGTGTGACACATGCTATGTAAGTTCATTGTACCACATGGATTTAGGAGGCTATAGTACAAAGATTGTCAGACTTGAAATGACATTTCTCGTCTGCTCTGGTATAACAGCAAATGAAGTGTATTTCTGTGGTTCACAAGGACAGAGCTTTTGTCTGCACCTCATCCTCCATCTGCACCTGTCTTGTCCTTGATAATTATCTGTATGCCTCCACACAAGACCTCGAAAATCCCACTGAGAGAGGAAGGATTTGTCTCTGCACTGTTGAGTAACTTAAGGGTTCCACAGAGTCTACAGTGCAGTTACTACATATTCTTATTACTCAGAGGTCTTCTGAATAAAGCTACTGTAGTGGGAACTTGTGTAAATTCTGGCATTTTTTTTTTTTCTGTGGGCGTTGTCTGAAGCTTTTGCAGTACTCAATATTACAGTGCTGATCCTGACATGTGAACTTGACCCCACTAGACCACTTAATAGGGATGTGAAGAAGATCCTTGAAAGATACCCTTGAAATTGATTGCATAGTGGACATGCTAGGAATATTTTTTCCTAGTTAGTAGTGGAGGGTGGCAGTATTTACGCAGCGTAAGATATCACACAGTGAAAAAGGATCATTTGGAGGTCTGACATGCATTTTAAAAATTATAGCCTTATAAAATCAGTGCTTAATACAAGTAACCCATTGCTGTAATGTATGACTTGTTTTAGAGCTCTGCTCCAAAACCTGAGTTGCTCAGTAGAATCTGCCTTATCGGTGCGTTGCTTTATTGCTTCCTATAAAGGGCCATTTTTGTGTGTGTTCCCAGTGCAAAAAGAAGGGTCAGATTTTAAAGGCATGGGTCTCCTAACACTTTAAATTTAATTTGGGTATTTATATTACTTAAATATATTGGCCTACTGTTACCTGTGCTTTATGAAAGGTTTGAGCTCTGCTATACAAGTGGGTTGGCATTGCTGGGGGCACATCGGATGCTGCAGTGCAGCTCCCAGGCTCTGCAGGGAGCTCGCTGCTGGGAGCTCCCCATAGCTGTTCTCTGCTGCCGGAGTGAGAGGGTGGTGATGTCAAACAGTGCTGTTTGAAAGGGAGCAGGCATCTTGATATCTTGAGAAAACTCAAGATGTACTAATGAAATAAATACAGTAAAGTGGTTTGCAAAATAGTTGTGAAGTGTTTTTAGGCATTGTTTGTGTCTACAACACCTCCAGCCTATTCAAGATGACACAAATACCTTCTATGTGCATGTCTCTTCCTGGTCTGAATGTTGGAATAAGGTCTTCAAGTGCAAACCTAAATTTATGTAATGCTAAACAAGATTTTTTTGATAGTACCTAGAACTGTCAGGTTCAAAAGTCTTTGCAGCTTGTCTCTCTTTTATTTTTCCCTTACAATCGTTAGAAATTATCTTAGCTTTTTAAAATATCAAAACATATGCCAAAGCGTATGGGAGGAGATTTGGGATTTGGAGAAAAGAAAGGAAGGAAGCAATTAGTTAAGGTGTGGAGGGAAGAAGTGTTTTTGAACAAATAACATTTTTACTGTGGTGAGCTTGTGCATTTCGGTCTAAGTACTTTGTGACTAGATTTCTACCTACTATTATACTTTTCTCACACAGAAGTTAAAGAATGAAGATTAAATACTTTTGATGAAAAGGTTTTGGGGCAACAATTGGGCCCAACAGTGCTGATTTCAAATACCTGTTTCTGTTATTTCTTATCCTTTTAGTGGTAAAATGTTCTCTGATTTGAACCTTCAGGTAGTTTCTTTCTAAAGTGGACATATATTCACTTTTTTTTTTCTGGAAACTTTTTTTTTCTTACTTGCTTCTCCTTCATTATCTTTTACAAAGCCATTTGCATTTCTTATATCAACCCGTTCTCACAACGAGTTGATATACGTAGATGTTAAAAATTCCTAGATTTAACTAGATACAGTGCCTAGCATTTCTAGCATTGTTACCATAATCCAAGTCTTTAAAAGGAGCATCCACTATAGAGAGAAGAAACATCCTTACCAGAAACAATGTACTTTTTGATATGTAAGGTTATTTTGTTTTCTGACTTCATTTCTAGAGATGTTGAAGATAGTGTCCTCTTTGAAGGAGTTTCTAGAAGTCTTTTAGTAAAGCTGAGCAGTTATCCCCAATTTCTTTTAGTGTAAACAAGGCAGTCATTTTAGACTGCAATCATCTACAAAGCAAATTCTCAACCCCAGTTTATAGATAGGAATTTACTGTCATTATGTTTTTGCTGGACTAACTCCTGAATTACGTATGTTTTCATTATATCTGTTATTTGAAATTGGCTCCTTATTGGAAGCTCCTTATTAGAACAATCTGGCTAAAAATATGAATTATTTTTGATATTAAAAAAAAAAGATAAAGATAAAAAGATTAAAAAAAAAAGATAATTGAGTTCCTTCCAAGCAGTGCTGAATATTATTTAGTTTATTTATTTATTTATTTATTAATGATTAGGGGGAAGTAAAAAACATACAAGCTGTAGTTTCAGGGGATTAGGTATTAAAAGTTACTTAGATTGTGACAGAGCAAGAAGAGGCCCTTTCCAGCTGCTTGATGACCTTGTGATGAAAACAAATTACTGTGTTTACAAACAAAGGAAAGATGGAAACCCTGATAGTGAAGTACAATTGGGTTTATGCCTTCAACATCTATACTTAAGTGTTAGAGCTTTGCTTCACACAGCACAAAGAACATCTAGCTGAAATGAAGCAGAGAGACTTTGAGGGGTTTATTCAAAGCTGTGCAGTTTGGAACCCTGTCTCCGCTGCAGGTGCAGGTCAGTATGGCTTTACTGGCTTTGGTGCAATCTAGATTCTAATTCTAAAGAACAAGAGTGGCTGAATTTCCTTCAGGTACTGGAAAACAACAAGCTTTAAGTTGTATTTATTAATCTCACATGATGCTTGAAAATTTTGTAAGGAAAAAAAAAGCCACAACAGTTGTGGGACTTCCATTTTATGGATGTATTAAAGAATAAGCTATTGAAGTAAATGGTGTATAGCAAGATACTGGGGAAGGTTGATTACTACATGTATTCTAATATTGCCTAGGCTGGGCAATTTAGTTTTTTGAGTTGTAAGGTAGGTAACACAGCTTGTCTGAAAAATGCTGTAACTGTTACATGGTTTTATATGAATGAATAGTTCTTTAAAAAGGAAAGTTTGATAAATGTACTAGAACTGTGCGGTCTTCTGTTTGCTACTTATTATTCTTCTGGCCAAAGTTTTATACTTCAAGAGCAGAAACAGTGCTGCGTAACCAAATGCATGCTGTAAAGAGCAATAACAGAACTGGAAATGAAAGCTTTGAGCAGCCATCAGCAAATAAGCCTTCTGAACAGAACATTCACAAAATAAGGCAGATATACAGAAACAATGTAGGAATAGGAGAAGAAAGAACCCACCATGACAAGACTTGCTTCAGTCATCTTCACAAGAATTGCAGTAGAAACAATAAGTCCTACAGAAATATTCTATACAGATAGAACTAGGTTAGGCCAGAAGCAATACCAAGATACACGTGTAATACTGTTTAGTCCGCCTATGTTTTGTGTGCCCATCTTTGAGTCTTTATGGTGCTTTTAAATTATATTTTGATCTGCTTTATCAGTGTCCCAGAACTACTGAGATGTTTGACTTGAACATTTATTTAATTGACTAAGAAGATAATTATTCCCAATAGCTGCTCAATTTTTGTACTCCACTTAGAGACAGATTATTTCACCTTTAAATGCGTTGAGTAATGCTAAGATTAGTTCCACTGATGTCATGGGGTCTAATTGTGGAGTAAGTTACCATCATGTGAATGGAGGTGGAAGGTTGAACCCTTTGATCCAGTTACCTGATACCTTCTGATGATCTGGAGAATAATGGAAATTAAAATCTCAAAGGTGTATTTTAAATCCAGTCTGAATGTCATTCCTTTCACACGGAACGTTCATATTTAAAGGCTTACACACTCAGTCTTTATCTAGGCTAAGTGTTGAGTCATAGAGAAATACATTCAAAGGCTGGGCCATTTAGATGCTTCTCCAGTCTTTTCAGTTGTGCTTGACAAAGAGGCAGAGGCAAATGTGAGCAGTTTTGCTTTGATGTATGTCGTACAGTCAATAGAGAATGGTAAATTTTAGTTCCCCTCAAAATATTTTATTCATAAGAACTCATAATTTTCCGGTGTCTTTTTCAGTGTTCATTGTCCTTCTCATAATTTGATAATGTTATTTAAACAAATCTTAGCTTTCATTTGAGTGCAAATTGTTAGAAAAAGGGGGCACAAGATTTCAGGTCAACTACAGTGATGTGTTTATTATAAAACTACATTTCTATTTTTAAATGATTTTAAATTAGTTTTCTATTTCTAGCACATACATTTGCAATTCCTATATGAGAAAGGCAAATTAATCATGTATTAGCAATCATATCTATCTATAGTTAACAAGAGCTTTACTTACCCATAAAAGCTGCAGCTCTCCAGAGTGGGGACAATAGAGAATAGCTGATCTGTACTGTGAGTCTTTGTCCTTTACAACTAGCAAGCTGTGAATAAGGGAGAGATTTTATAGCTTTCAGGCTGATGAGCAGCCCACAGCACGCTTCGCTCTTTTCTCCTTCTCTTTTCTGTGACCCTGCTCTTCAAATGCATCTAATACTCCATAATTACTTAATCCTCCACCACTGCTTGTGTTTCCAGTTCTTAGATGTCATTAACAGAAATGGAAACACAGCAATTATCATGCTGGGAGAGAACCTTTCAAATCTTCAGAATAGTTTATATTGAATTTCCCTTTGCTGTCATTCAGGAAAAGTGATTATTGAATCTAATAGAGAACAGATTTTCAAGAACCCAGTTCCCTTATTGGCATCGAAGTACACCAGCCAGTTTAAAAAGTGTTTGGTTCCCTGAAGCTACAACTAAAGTCTAGCAAAAGTGTGTCAACACCTGAATCTCACCTGGTGGGTGCTGAGAACTTGAGAAAACTCATCTGATCCACATTCACTTTATTAATGTTTCTACTTTTCACTCACGCTTCAAGTTCATGTGACTGAAGCATATGTGGCCAAAGTGTTGTTTTCTATTCCATTAAGATAACATTGGAGTCTGAAGCTGCCACTTCTGCCTTGCTATTTTTGATTAAGTAGAATGTGTATTAAATGTTCTGTGTTTTGGTGGGAGTAATTGTTATGGGGAAAAAAAACACTATTTTCGAAGCAATAGTTTCAAAAAGGTACATTATTTCTGTTGCCTTTTTCAGCCCACTTCATTCTGCTTGAGAGTTGAGCTTCTAACATGCAAGGCAGTGACAAGAATGGCTTACAGAGTACATGCTGTGCTCCCTTTAGGATCTGCTACAGCCCCCTGACGTTGCTGTAGCATGAGTTTAAGGAAACACTGTCTGCCTGTTAATACTATTTAAAGATTGTTCCGACAAGCAGATTGAGCTTCCCAGTGTGGCACGACGTATTGTCGCGGTTGTGGATTTAGCACTGGGCTCCAAGTCTGTAGTGCTCTAAACTTTGCTGCACTGTGGTGCTATAATGACTGTGATGGTTATAACACTGAAGGGAGTTTAAATTGCTGACTCTTAAAGAAAAAAAAGTGATCTGATAATGAGTTTGGAGCCTGAGGATCTTGTTAAGGAGGTTGGAAGTTTTTACTGACTCTTCCTAGATAATTAAAAAGCTGGTCCCCTTGGCTGTGTTTATAGAGAGGGAGGGTAAACTGAATGCATTTTTTTCCCCAGTCATATTGGCATGTTTTGCAGTTTCATGTAAATTGGAAAATAAAGTCCTAAGGTAAGGATTGCTCCATTACATATCATAATGGAGAAAACTACTTATTTGTGTATCATTTGTTTGCAATACTACATTTGGAAAAAGTATTATACAGATACTGGAGAAATATGATATGTGTTTGACTGTTTAAAAGGGACTGATATCAGTCATGGATTAAGTTGCTTGTCACAAAACAGTGACACTCTCCTGCCAGCTGAGGGATTTACAAGATTAATTGTCTCTTGACCACTATTGGGTATCAAAGTGGAGTTTAAGGTACTGACAGTTCTTCGGTGGGATTGCCACAAGCTGTCAGCATGGGCAGAGGTGGTGACATTTCTGAAATGTAAGGGAGAAGGGTAAATGATGGCATGTTATGGGCAAACGTGGTAAAGGGTGAAGCCTTTAAAGAGATGTAATACAAAGCGTGGTGGGGAGGAGTAGGTGGTACTGTGGCATTAGGTAAGCCAGAAGCATACAGCCTGTATAGGGGCCGCTTCCAGTGCCTTTTGAAGTCAATGGGAGCTTTTCAAAGATTTCAAGTAACACTGAATCAGACTCATGAATGTGTATAAAAAGGTAATAATGGAAAAAAAAGTGCCTGTCCTTTGTAAAAGCCTGAAGGAAACAAAATGAGGTGTACAGTAAATTGGTGAAGACAAGTAAGAAATCACATCAGATAAACTCATCTTCAGTGTCGTTCATCATCATGCCTCAGTGAATACTAATGGGAAAACACAAGATCATAATACTGCAAAAAACACTGACAAGCAGCCAGGTATGGAAATTCTGTGCCAAATGAACTGTGATTTTATATGCAAACTAATCAGCTACAAAGATTATGGCAAAATAAGACAGGATGGGAATCCAAATTTGTAGAACAGCACTGTCAAGCTAAAATGCTCCTTCTGTTTGTGTATAGTCCTGTAAACCTGTTGTATAGCAACACTTAGTAGTCTTTACCACCATCAGGTGCCAGCTACACTAGGTGCTGTTCAAATGCACAGCAAGAACAGTTTTTGCTCCAGAAATGTTTACAACCAAACTGAAAAATCAAAAAACACCTTGCCGGTAACCTGAGATAGAGCCAGTGGCAGAGGCAGCTGGGGAACTTGGCGGTGCTCCTTGGAGGAGGCAGCCCCCAGCTCTGGAGAGGCATTAGGTGTAGCCAGAAGGGCTGAGAGGGCCAGCATGCTGGCCTGGGTCTGCACCTCTGTGCAGCTTCTGAAATGAAGCAGGGACTGCTGCTGGGGGAGCAAAGGTGTGTTCATGCCTCCTCTTCTAGGCATATCACTGGACTGAAAGAGATGGAGCAGCTATCTTCTCTGCAGGTGCCTATGAGAATTTATTTTCAGTAGAAGTAAAAGAACCAATCTAGAATAAATGGAGATTTTTTTCTTTCCTGATGGATGGATTGCTTTAAGTAGTTAACCTAATAATTTGCACTGGGATTTCTCTGTCATCTGAAGATTAATTTATTGTTTTAATTTTTTGAAAAGTGGAAATGTTTATTGTAGCTTTAGGTAAACTGGCTTCTTCAGGAAAAAAGTGGACAGTGGATACATGTATTGATCAGCACAGTAAAATGTCAGAAAATAACTGCTAAAGACTCTTTACACAGGGAATCTACGGTGTTTCCATGTATGGTATCATTTTTCTTCTTTGCCTTTGAATACTTATGAAGTGATATTTTAGTCTGGTTCACAGGTCTAGTGAATGCAGTTATTTTGGGAAAATCAAAGATTTTTTAGAAGAGGAGCTGAACTATCATCGGCTTACTTGCTTAGCATGAAATTCCTGTAACTATGATGAAAATAAACCTAAGGGAACAGAAGGGAAAGCGGAGGAGTTGGAGCAGAGGACAAGAACGTCAGAGGGTAGAACTAGGGCCCATGGTCGTGCTTCAGCAAACTGTTTTTGGGAGGAATTAGAAATAATGTGATCTAGAACATCCCATTAAGACCCAAGGTAAGCCTCTCGTTCCTTGTGGTCAGGAGCACGATCCTGACTTTGTAGGACTCAGAGTGGTAGAGAGCATGTTGTCAGGCAGGGAGTAGTACACAACTTCACACGGTGCTGTGGGAGAGGTGGCTGCAGTCCTCCCAGAGTGCTGCTGGGCTTCTCTAGCTGTGCATAAGCTACTGAAAGGATTTATTACTCTGAAATTCTTACTAGACTCTGAAGTACTTTGATGGGGAAGTCATATGAGCAAATACTAGGCTTAGAGATACACTTTTGACTTATGAAAATTATTATTTATTCTTGTTGGTAAAACAACAAGCAATCACTTGATATATATCAGAGTTCTGCCTGAGATTTCCTGGAAAGGAGCACACAAATCTACTGCACTCTGGACTTACTGTGCATGCTCACATGCATGTGTTGGATGTGACTTGACAGTGCTATTGTCAGGGATTTCTTGATGCTTACAACTCTCTTGTAAATACAGCTCTGTCTGGGCTACAGATATCCCCAAATCCAGGGAAAATTGCCATTATTTGTCTGCAGTACTCTGGTAATAAAATATAAACTGAATTTGCATGTATTTAGGGGTCTTGTCTGGAGTTCTGGCAATTTGTTCAGTGTTGTATTGGGATATACCTGATGGTCAAGTTCTCAGATTCAGGGTACTATTTCTTGATGGCAAGAGAAGAATTATCAACGAAGTATATGAATTGCTGCTGCCACTAGTATTTCTTTTCAAGCAGTTTATACCAATACACCTTCAATATTGTATTATGTGAAGAATTTGGCCACCAAAAGCTTGTCTATCTATTAAAATGCCTCGTTAGTTGTGAATTCTGAAATTGAAGCAGTGGGCCAACTGAATACTCTCATTTCACTTTCAGATTGGTTCTAGGTTGGTTTACCTGTCATGAAAATTCATTTAATCCAAGACAAATGCAGTAACTCTTACACTTTTAGTAGAGACAGGATTTTAAATAAATTCATTGAAAATGCATTGCATTAAGCTGGAGCAATGGTTCATTGTAAAGAAAGTCAGCTGGCCAAGGCATTTCTTTGGATTTTCTTTTCCTTGGCTGCAAAAAACCAAACCAAACAACAAAAAAAACACAAACCAAAACAAAAAAAAACACACCAACTTTCTCTGTGTAATTGTGTCCTACTCATTGTAGAGATAAGCTGTTTAAACTTTGAGTGATTAAACTTTTGGTGAGTGTTTTCAAGTTTTTCTCTTTAACTCTGGCAAATGCCAACACTAAGTTTTATCCTTCTCTGGAATAGGATCCTCCCGTCATATGAAAATATGGAAGCCATAAATTTGTACTATTACGGCTTTATCTTCTTGTGTTGTAAAACTACTTTTTGCACAAAGCATCGCAGATCTACAATTCATTTAATGCCATGCAGTTTTTAACATGTCAGTAATCATTTACTTGAAGAAGGTGGTGTCCATGCCTACCATTAACTGCCTGAGACCTTAGAGAATACCTCTTGAGAACGTCTCTGATGAAGGTCAAATTACTTTTGAAAGTCTGCTTATGAATGCCTACTGAGAAGAGTAGGGCCCGATGTTATGAACTCTTCTCTAATCATTTCAATGTTCATGTTTTGACAATGAATAATCAGGGAACTCTACAAGGAAAAGTGTTGACCAAAAAGATTAAAACCAAGATGTAGAAAAGGATGATATCTTTTAGTGAATTAATGTGCGAAGTGTGAAGAGCTGAGTTTACCACTTAAGCTTTTTTTTTTTTTTTTTTTTTTCCTGTTTCATCTTTACTACTAGAATAGAATCAGTAATTTCAGTGTTAGGGTATTGTCCTTTCCTATACATTGATGAAGCACATGGATCCTTCAAGTTTGTTTTT